ATTTAATTATTTAATATAACAAATTTTTCTTAAATAGCTGACAATATATCTTGCTTCCTTTGCAATCTCTTTTTAGGGGTCCTACATTCTGTCTGTTTTAATTATATGGCATTGGTTTCTGAGGTCTCAGAAAGAATCTAGATACGCTCTGACATGCCTCCCAGGGTTAATTTTCTTGGTTCTGAATGCCACCTGATCGCGATACTGTGTATCACATTCTCATTTTCCCTGCTGAGAACTTACATTTATTCTTCTCATATACTCAGGATCCAAAGCAACAGGTTTTGTTGTTGTTGTCAAGTCATATGGCCAATCATTTCCGCATTTGCAGGTAATGCTGTGTATCAACAACGTGCTCTATCAATTACAAAGCCATCTTTTCATATATAATCGCATCTGATTTTGACAGTCTAGTGAGGGAAAGAGAAAGGATGGGTGCAGTTAATTCTTATTTTGTGGGTGAACTCCAAGAAGTCAGTCAATATACCCCAAATGATACACAAACAGAAGGGCCAGGTCAAGAACCCGGCCTTCAAACTCCGGGTTCTTTCTGCCCCATCCTACTGAGCCTGCATCCCGTGTTCTGTGCCATGAGACATCTCCCATATAACACATTTGGTGAACATGCTGTGTAAAAGTGTACCAAATTTTAATAAACTTTATAAAGCCACATTGTTATCCTTTAGTTCTTTCCCTGCTAAGCAGTTATTGTTGTACTCTATGGGTAGTGAGAGAGGTTTCCTGCTTTCCAGTGACATTGTGAGGATACAATGTAAGAGGTGAGGAGCGATAGGATAGCAATAAAGAGAGGTGTCCAAGGAGACATATGGCTAAGTGACAGGTTCAGTGGAAATAATGTAGGAAGTGAGACTCAAGCTGAGCCTTGCAGGGTGTGACAGAATTTGGAAAGACGAAGGGGGGTAAGGGAACTGTCTGAGCAGAGGTGTGCAAGAAAGAAAGTGTGTAGTACTGAAATAATTGTGGGTGAAATGAGACATTTAGGGTTTGCTTCAGAACAATTCAGGCCATGGGTGTGATATGAGTTGATAATTGCTGATGCTGGGTGAAGGGTATATGAGGCTTCCTTAGACTATTTATATTTTTGTACATGTTAGGAATTTTTCATAATAAAAAGTTTGGAATATAAAAATGGGATGTATTTTGGGGACAGTGGGTAGGTTGGCCTGTCTGGAGTAAAAGGGTTTGTTCAAAGGCATAGTGGGAAATGATATTGGAAAGGCAGTTTGGGAACGGCCTTGGTGGTGGGAGGGGGTTCATGAGTGCGCACTGTGGGGTCTGGGTGAGTAGTGGTCGACACTGGCTCTTTGACTGCACTTGAGTTTTGGTTGACTGTGAGCTCAAGGAGGAGTTGCAGTGTAGACTGGCATCCTCACTGAGGATGGCAGCTACCCCACTTCACTGTCTGCTTAGGCCCTACCACATGTGACCTGCTGTATTCAGTTCTGGAAGGCACATTTAAAGAGGGCGTTTTACAAACCGAGTTTCAATGGTCGGGCATACCAGGCACTGAAGGGTATCTCACATCTTCTTCGGAATCTTCCTGGTAGAACCCTCCATCAACTCAAGGTTGTCTGCCTGGAAAGGACTTAATTTTCCTTCTGAAAAGTCCCTGCCCTGTCCCTTTTCAAACTCTTTCTCTTGGGGGCTTGAGAATGGGCAGTAAAAGCGAAATAAAAATATTACTATGATTCCCCAGTGATATAAAGGAATGTGTGCATGCTGCATGTAATTCAGCTGCCTGGAAACAGACTTATCAGCACACTGAATTATGTGCAACAGCACCGAACCATTTGGAAAGCCTAACACTTTGGTGTAGCTTTGGGAAGCAAAGTTCCCTCTTCATTCCTGCGTAAAATGTTTCTCTACTGCTGAGGAAAACAGGAAAGAAAGACATGTCAGACAAATTTGAATAGTGAGATTGTTAAATATTTGGATGTGATTCAGTGGTATGCTAGAGCCGAAGAGGGCTGATTGTTATATTTCAGGAATTTTGTAAGCCATTTGTTAAATACAGCCATTAAAAATTAAATTATACATACTCAAAATTAAATATTAAAATTAATGCTCAAAATGTACCACCTCCTAATTGTTTTACTATAATTTGCTATTATTTATGTTCTTAAGCTTATTTATGTCTAATGTGTCTGCAGAGTGGAAGTCTTGTAAAATGGTGAGCTGCACATAGTTTCTCAAGGCCACATTCAATGCAACATGTTGGTACCTTGAAATTGGCCATGGTACCATATTTACACCAGGAAATTGGCAAAGACTGCGTATTAGGGTTTCCCCCACCCCACCCCCCACCAAGAACTGGTTGTTAAAAACTACTGGCACACAGTGTGTATACTGGTTGCTAAAAACTACCAGCATACCATGGGTATGATACTGTGGCTATATTTTTTAAAGGCTCTCTTTACCTTTTAGTATTCAGAGATACATACTGAATACTTGATCTTTAGTATTCAGAGATACATACTGAAATAAGACAGGTAAAATGTGATATCTAGAATGCGTATCAGAGTGATGGGCACATGGGTTTCACTGCACCACTCTCTCTACCTTTGTGTGTATTTTCCATAAGAAAAAGTTCAAAAAAGTAAATAAATAATTACAAGGAAAATAAATAAGTTACTTATACCAAGTAGACATAGAAATTCAGTCTGGTGTCTGTCTGTTCCTCAAATTTTGATGCTAATGTTACTTTGATAAAATATTATTTTCTAATTTTAGAGCTCTTATTTGTGACTAGTTCACATAGGTCGTTGAGTTAAATTCCTGTTTCTTGTTAAATAAAGTTGAGAAATCACTATGTGCAGTTTACCATACCCATAAGAGCAAACGAATCCGAGAGAGCCCTCGCTGCGACACTAAGAAGCTCTATCTTCACAGTGGGGGGAAATTTTTTTGTATTGCAATCCTGTTTGCAGAACCAGTTATACAAATAGGGTAAAATGAATCAAGTTGTTGCTCAGAGGGCTACTTCAGGCTATATGACAGCTGTGTGCCCTTTAGATTTATTTTCAGTCTAACTGATTTGAGTCCAAGAAAAGAGTGCTGTCAAGTGAATTGTCTTTCATGCAAGTGAGAGCCTTTCTAAACATCACCTCACTGATACAGTTGATGTATTTGGAATTATTGGCCTATGAATTAAATTAGACCAATTCAATGACTTAGCCATAGCCTGTGTGATACAATGGCTACATTTCACAGCGTGCACAAGCACAATACTTTTTTCTAACATATATTATTTAGATGTCAAATGGGAAAGTTGTAACATATTACTTAGAAAACATCTATTTTTTTCCTAATGTTGAAGTTCTTTTAATTTCATTCTTAACATGAATTTGTAGTATGATAATAGTTTCTTCTTGTCTTTGATTACATAATAATTCATACTAACTAAACCCAGTTGACCAGGAAAAAAGAATTTTATGTTGAGTAAGGAATGCAAGTAGTCACTGTGATGATCCCATCAAACAGAGTGGTGAGGAAATTATTAGGTTTTATAATGAGGAGAGCAAAAGACATTAAGAACCTTGAGGGGGGAAAGTAGTCCTTAATATGTCTTATAATTTTAAGTTTTGTGAGTCTCTGATCTGTCTAGAAATTCAGGCTGAAACCATGCTCTAGGTTTAACCACACACACCAAGAAAAAATCAGTGTCAAGCAATGAAAACAACAGATGTCACACTCAGGTAACCTGGAGTCAGAATACCAAAAGGAAACCTAGACTGAAACAGGAATTGAGACCAAGAAACCAGAAGTCAGAGTAAGATGGGTAGGTGAGAAATCATAACTCCTTCTCGTAAGACAGACCTAGGAGAAGCAATCACCTGGAGACCCTGGGAGGTTTTGACACTTGGCTGCAGTTTTTCCCAAGTTAATTTATTTGTATTGATAACCTTCAGTGCCCTGCAGGGTCCCACCACAATATAGGTTCTGAAGGAATTTTGGGGGGGTATATAAATAGAAATCATGACTCAAGATTAAGTAGTAACATAGAGATTGAGTAATGATTGCTAAGGAAAAACACATGGTAAATTCTTGAGGCATAATAATCACAGGACTGTGATTTATTCACTCTCAGTTATTTATTGGGCCCTTTCTATCTAGGCTGAGTGCTGGGGATACATCAGTGAACTCTACAGATAAAAGCCCTGTGTTCTTTGAGCTTACTGCCTAGTGGATAGACACAGAAAATAGACAAAATAATTATATAGTACATTTAACAGAGATAAATTCCATAGAGAAAATCAAAACAGGAAGTATTCTTGAGAATTGGATTCCCCAAGGATACATTTTCCAACTCTATCAAAGCTAGCAAAGGAAAGATTGATATTTGTAAAAATACAAAACATACCACATCTGAAATTCCTTCATGTTTCTATTAAGTCCTTTGATAAACTAAATATATTCACTGTTTCTACAACCAGTAATTTTAGAGCACAAATTAAATCTGAAGTAGCGTGGGAGAGGGAGCAGCTTTTTTACGGTGAAGTAAAATTTAAAAAATATGCTCATACATACTTGTTAGGGAGTTGGCCATTCATGATTAGGAAGGCAATGGACACCTACCACAGAGAGGCTAGAAGTTATTTAAAAACATCTTTGCTTCCAATTCTGTTTACCTCCTGTTGGGTAGGACAAGCAGAAGCCGTTCAAAGAGGTGGTGTGTGTGCATTGTATAACATAAGACTTTTTACCTTAGGCACCTTAATTGCCTTCATAAAAAATTAAATTGTCTCATCTTTAAATGGAAATTTTAGGAAATGAAGGTATTCAGTGAGCTCCTTTACATAGGAGATGGATTCAGGCTACGTCGAGTTCTTCATTTTAAATAACTTACTTTTCCCCAAATTACCAAGTAAAAGCCTTTAAACCCAACATTGGCCAAGGTCAGCAGCACAAAAACTCATTCATATGTTCTCCTCTCACCAGGGCTCCAGTTTGTATTTCCAGCTGGCTACTAGACCTCACCACCCAAATGGCCCAAAGGTACTGCAAACTTGGGATTTTAAAAACCACGCTCATCACCTTCCTCCACTGACCAATTTTCACCATTACCCTGTGGCCAAAAGTAGGGTGGTCACTTGTCCTTGAGTCCCAGCTCTCTTTCTTAACATCTGGGCAGCCACCAATCCTTCTGATTAATACCCGAGTAACTCTAGAATCCTTGCCCATCCATAAGCTATTTAGCAGAGTACCTGTTTAAAAGTTCTTGAAAGTGTTGGTACATAAAAGTGCTTAAAAGTACTTGCTTTTCACCTCTCTTCTCCTCCTACCCAGTCACTTCCTAGTTTAAGCCTTCTTTCTTGTTTTATCCCTTGGACTATTAACCTGGTCTTCTACCTGCATCAAATATTTCTGCCCCCTAATGAATCCTTCATGCTGCTCCTAAAGGGGCAAATTCTAAATTTCTGAATTTAAAATTTCACATGGCATTCCCTTGCATGGAAACCATTGATTTTATAGCATGGTACCCAGGTGTCTTTATGATCTGAACCTAAACAGCCTTTTCATGCCATCTGCAGCTTTTCCACTGGGTTTATTCTCTAGAGCAATACTCAATCAATATTTAGTTATGCCAACCCCCTAATAAGGATATAGAATCTTAATTATGTTAATAGGTCATCCTTGATTCCAAGTGAAAGAGCAGAATTCACCAGATTGCTCATTGGTCTTCTAGTGAATCTTGGGATATTAACTAGTACTTTATGATAGAGCCTTTCACCAGCCCAACTTGGTTTCTCTCTCCTTTCTCCATCTCTCCCATTAGCCAGTAACTTGTCAGATTTTCCCTGTGCTGGAAAAACATTCATTCTTTTCCTGCCACCTTTGAAATTTTTCTAGCTGGGCTAATAATCATGAACAAAACAAGATTAACAGGAGAAAATCAATTTTTAATACATGCTCATGGGGAATTCACATGAGCATGAAAATTCCAATGACAGCGAGGCAACATTGGATATATGTGACATTTTTGGACAGAGGAGCAGGGGGTGGGGATGGGGTATTAAATTTCAGAAGGAGAGTGAGCAATTTACAGGTAGCTGAGGAAGAGAGCAGGCAAGTTCACGCTAGGAGACTCAGAAACAGTGGGGCACTGAGGTTATCTAACAAGCGCCTGCCTGAAGCCCGCTTATTTGCCACACTTAATTCAAATGAGGCTAAGGCTAACATTCTGAGATCTTCCTGAAGCAGGTTTTTTGTTTTGGTGTGTTGTTGTTTTTTTCCTTCTATCTGAATCTCTTGGGCAGGAAAGGGGGGAGGGTCACAGGTTCTTTCTGAGTCTCATTTCTTAACTATGTAAAGTCAATATCCCAAAAAGGCATCAAGGTGGCAAAACTTAGGCCCTCTTCACCTGTTAGTACTACTCAAATTCCTTCATTCCTCCTTATTTTCACTGACACTCCCCTTGCTGCTGGGCCTCACTACTGTCTTAGCTAAATTACTACCGTTGGGTCCTACTTGGTTCCCTTGCTTTTATTCTGTCCCCCTACTTTCTACTGCCCCAGTGAATCTCCCATGCTCTGCCAGGTTAATTTTCCTCAAACACTGCTTGCATTCTGTTTTAGAGCCAGTCAGTTTTCTTTTGTGAGTCAAGTCATGTCATACGCTTCATTCCGGAACCTTAAGTCCTGGATGTTCTCACTGACTCACTTATTTGTGAAGTCATCTCCCTCTGGCTATAAAGATTCTCTCCTAAGTGGGACTCACTCTTCCTCACTCAAGACCTCTCTGCTCTTGCCCTTCCCCAGCTGGAGATTTTTCTGTCCCAGCTCCCATATATCCCTGAAGGCTCGAGGTGCACATCAGCCACGCTGCTTTCCCCATTCCCTGAACGGTAGCTGTTGACCTTTGTGAGAGCAGCTTCAGGTGGCAGGAAGAACACAATGTTCGGTGTCAGTTATGGGATCAAGCTCTTGATGGCTAGACATGTGACTTAGGCTGCTTATTTTTTCTCTCTCTGAACTGGTATCCTTGTTATAAAGTTAAGGGCATGGCTTAAGTGACCTATGAGGGTGGGAAATGCTCCATAAACTTTAAAGCATTATGCAGCTGTATCTTGTTGTTTCAACTGAGCAGTTTAACCCTTGATTATATATTTTCCTGTTTCCTATTCACTTTGTGTATATTTCCCATCTTTTATGAGTGTTTTAAGGGTAGATAGAAGGTGAAATACCAAAAAGGTTTTTTCTCACTCACTGATTATTATTATTTCTTGTCCTGTTCAGCCCACATCATAGCAAATGTTCTTAAACTCTCTTCTGTCAAGAGAATCCAATGCATACAACTCCCGGGCACTGTCGTGAGAGTATAGTATTTGGGAAAGGGAGTGAGAGAGTAACAGGAAGAAAAGAAGTAGACTTACGGGGGGACTGACCTGCCCCAGTACTGACTTCTTTTATGTATCCAAAGACAAGCTCAGGATTTAGACCTCTTGGACACATTCTTCAGCCTTTTTTTAGACAATGGCAATAGAATTGCCTCAGTTTCTTAGAAATAATAGTTCTTACACAGAGCAGGCTCTCAAATGTTTATTGAATTCACTATCCACACAATTTTTATAGCATTATGCATGCACGTACACAAAGTGTTTATACATGCACATGCATGTCAATGGATTTGTCTTGTCACTGCCAATGTTTATTCATAGTTTCTTTTTTCCTTTTAAGTATCATTCTCATGTATAGCAGCAGTGTGTCTGCTTTGTCTGCTGAGTAGCACTGATGATCACGTTTGCTTTGTGTTTGCACAGTGTTTGATGGGGGTACCTGATCACTTGCTGAAGTCATAGGTAGTTCAGGGACTGCCTTATTTATTAGATTAAGAAATTGCCTATAAAATATTGTATATAATATTAAACTTATTTAAATCCTGCTTACAATTAAAAAGAAAGAATAATAATCATTAAATAAGAATTTATTTTAGTTTTGCACAGGTGTCTTCTAGCCCCCCTCTCACAGGCAGCCCCCTAGGAATAAAGGATATGGTGGTGGAATGCAGGAATTTATGATTCTGCTGCTGGTGGAAATGGGGTCCTTGCGGTGTCGGGAGAAAACCGTTTTCAGGGACCCTATTCCAAGGTTAAGCTCCTGCCCTTAATGGTCACACTCTTAGTTCCTGAGTATGCCTCCTAGTGGGAGCACCTCCCCCTGCACCATCTTTACTTTGGATATGCGCCCAGCAGAGGAATTTCTGCTGTCTTCATTCCTCCCCTGGTAATGACCAGTAATGGTCCTTTGGGGGATTAGGCCCTGAGAGCGGAGGATGCCCTGGGGGGGTGCAGCTGTACCTTCCTAGTGAAGTAAGCCAGCGTATTGTCCAGTTCAGCTCCCCAGCCCGTTAGACTCAACAATGCCCGATTCCCTTCCTTCTCTTCCGTTGTTAATATCTACCTACCTCTGCTGGATACATTTCTGCCTGGTATCCATCTTAGAAGGGAAGCATTAATTGTGACAAGCCTTGGTTGGTTAAACTATCCTTGGACAATAAGAATAATCATTCGATGCTTTTTATAATTCTTACTGTCCCCGGGTCACTGAGTCTTCCTATTAAATTAAAAAACAAAGTAATCAAACAGAAAAATTGGTTCCTGTTATCAGGGAGTGTATGATTTGCAGGAGAACAAAGGGAATGATAGTTACCCCAGCAAAACAACCAAGAGAAATGGGATTTGCTTATTACCTTTGAGGCAAAGGGTGTAATTACCTACAAAACAAATCACTAAAGATTTTGATTGTTTTGTTGAAGAGTAGAGTTGCTAGCGTGAAAATGATTGCCTACCCCTGGCAGGCTGGGTGAGTGCTCGCATTTCAGATGAACCAGCCTGGATATGAAAAGATATTTGCATAGGAGGCTGGGGAAATTGCCAAACAACAAAATGAAGACGGATGCTTTTGAAATTCCTCATATCACTGCTTTCATTAAATTGATGTTTTTAAGGGAATGTATTTTTAAATGAAATTTTAATAATGCCTCAGCGAATTCCAAATGTGTTCTTTAATTTTATTGGGCTTTCACAATGGGATCATGTTTGGTTTCACTTTCTGGTTTTTCCGCACAAGCCTGTTGCTGGGAAATATTTAAATAAAATGTTTATGAGAGAAGAATATTGTTTTGTAATGGGTGAAAACATTTTGGTTTGATTTAGATGTAGTTCATGTAATTTTTATAGAAATAGGATTTCTGATGCCTAAACTTTTAATCATTTGGTTAAAGAAAACTCTTTTAAAAAAACAAAACAAAAAACCTCTTGGCACTGAATTTAATTAAGTTACCTTGTGGTGAAGTCATCTACAGAACTGTTTGAGTAGGCACCAGTTATGAAACAAATGAAATGTTGGCCCATAATTAGAGGAATTGTAACTTGATTTTAAACAGAGGTTTGATTGCATAGTGAGTGACAATGCCTAATGATTTTTCCAGAGGAAGGGCCCAGTATAGTCTTAGGATGATGGCTTGCTAATGGTGTATTTAACATGGCCACTAGAATATCTCTCACCCTTCTGTGTGTGTGTTTTAAATGACTTTTCTCGTGTGATGTGGCAGTTCATGAAATATTTGGCTATTAATTCTAAAAGTTATATTTTTACCCCAAAGCATGTAATTTATCAAAGTATTCAGATACCATTTAGTGTAAAACAAACAAGCAAAAAACCATCTAATAAAATCCATTTCTCTTTCGAAAACACCAATTAAGACTTTCTGGAAAAATCTGCTCCCTCAAAATCTAATTGTTTCTTCCAGTTGCATCATTTTACTGGCTAATCTGATAGTTTAATTTTTTAAGCATAACTATTTTTCTACTTGAAAATTTCTACTTTAATTTTGAATTTCATTAATGCTTTATTTTACAAGGTGATCTGATATATGCCCTAATAAAGGATTAGGCTTCTTGCTCTCATTTTCTAACCCCCTTCCTATGCTTTCAAATTAATTTCCCTAATACACAATAATACCTCTGCTCAGATATCATCCGTGATTCCCTGCTG